GCATCCGGGCCATCCTAAGCACGCCACAGCTAGCCACCAAAGCCATCCAGTATGTAGAGCAGACGCAGATCCTTGGGCAAAATGGGGATCGCAGGCGCGAAGACGACAGCCGAGCGCTGGGGGGAGACTGAAGGTATCGCAGACGCAGAACACGAGGCAATTGTGCCTCTACGAGCCTAGAAGTACAGGGTTCAGTTAGTAGAGTCAATATCTAGATAAGGTTGGGAGCCAAATGTAGATAGTGATGAGAGGGAAACGGCAGGCCTCTGAGGGCAGATGGTCGTAGAGATGAAGTGGGGCGGCGCGGATCAACGTCAGCACCGCGTCGGCTGTCCGTCAAGCCTGTCATCCGGGCATAGCTGCTTCTCGCGGCTGCAACCGTGTAGGACCCAATCAAATCAAATCAATCAAATCAAATCAAATCATCATCACCATTGGGCGAGTCGTCTCGCACGCTATCGTCGTCTGTGCCCTCTCCCAAATCCTCCAGCTCTTCTGGCGCTTTGCGCTTTCCTGTCGATCGGCGAGGACCGAAGGGCGGCATGCCATGGACGGTTTCTGCATGACTCCAAAACTTGTCTTCAGAGCCAAGCATGTCTTGGCAGTGAGGGTGTGGACAGACAGATGGGGGGGCCTCTAGTTGGGCTAGATGCTCCTTCATGTGCTTGTGCAGGTCAAGGGTTGTCAAATTGCAGAAAGCGAACCTGCAGGGGCGCGTGGCTATCGCCCAGGCATAAGACGCAATGCGCGGCCACTACAACCACACCATCGAGTCGAATTAATCCGCAAAAATTGTTGAGTTCTGGGAGATGGTGTAGCTCAAGATGTTGTACCCACTGCTGTTCCGACTGGCACCATCCATCGTGCTCATAGCAGTAGTGCATCCTTGTTAGCACGGTCCACTCGTTAGGGACTCGGTGTTTGTTTGAGACATGATAGGCAAGCTTCTCGTGACTCTCGAAGGTCTGATGGCAACCATCCCATAGGCATTGGTGAGTACGTATATCTCGGAGATGCCTCGTTACGTGGAGAGAGTTTATACCGCAAGATTTTCCGCGGAAGCTGGAATTGCAGTCGTTCCAAGCACAACGGTGAATAACGTTGAATTGGTCCGTCATATGTTTTCGTGCTTCCCGTATGTGTTCTTTGCGGGCACATTGGAGCAAGTGCTCATTCATGCGGTCCGGCCTTGTTCTGTCTTAGTCAGTACAGCATCTAACAGCAAAGCGGGGAACGCACTTCTTGTCGTTCTTGATAAACTGTTTCCCGCACACGCCGCAGCACCTGTCCTTGGTGAGGGAGGCAGACGCGTATGTGTATCGCTTCTTCTCTGGGTTAGATAGGTTCACCATTGGCTCAAGGATATCTTTGAGTGGGATTTCGATCTTGTCGGTCGCACTGTCAACACCAGTATCCTCGGAATTCTCGGCTCCCGTGTCGCAATCAGGGTACATTAATCTCGCAATGATTTTCCGTTCCGGTTCAAATTTCCACAGGGCTTGCAGATATCGCGATGGGGAGCGTAAGGGTTTCGGTGTGGCTTGTGCAGAAACCGATGCCGGTACTGCGGCACGTTGAGGCGTGGTCTTCCCTTCGAAGAAGTCCTCGCGCTGCTTACGATACGCGACTGTTCGCGATTGCCGTCGTAATGCATAATCTTCCTTTAGGGTGTGCTGGGATAATGCCACCACTGAGACGGGATTATCGGGTCCGATGGCTTTTGCTATGCTACCACGATTGGTGAGCTGAGAGCCGGGAGGCATTGGTGCAAGAAGGTTTCTCTTCGACATCATAGACGTTTTTTCCTCGATGAGTTCTGTTCTTTGGTCTCTCCTATGAACCATTGATTGGCTGTCAACCCCAACAATCCCGGAAATGTAGTACATGACGGTATCATTGTTGGAGTGCCCCATTAGCAATCTTCTCTGTGCAGGAGTTGCCGTTTCTATCAATGGTAAGTGGAGGACGGAGTATCAGAGCATACTATGCTACGTACTCTCAACCGCTTTAGCATAAGCCCGACGAAAGCAGTATGCACTTAACCTGTCTTCGTACCCAGCCCGTTGACCAATCCCCTTGAGCATGTTGTTGAAGCATTCGTAGGTGAGGATGCCGTTTTCAGAAACTGAGCCGTCGCTGAGAATGCTTCGAAGGATAGGCCGTTGTTTCGCTTCTGACTTGTAGCGATATTTGTACAGCGAACTGCCTGGTGGCAGCTCCTTTGCTTCAATGTCTTGGAACGAAGTGCATTCTTCGAACACCCCATCTGCCAGAGCTAACGCCATAAAATGTGTAACTGGGCACATGGATCGCATGGAAGCTTCCTCGTATAGAAGCATAACAGGTCTATTTCTCTTAGGGCTCTCGTTTCTGTCTTTGCGTGAGTTCTTACTTACGAGTGTTTCTTGTTGTTTCGGTGTCCCTTCCGATTCCGCAGCCGCAGATGAAGAAGGAAGCCCACGTACGTGCCATTCTGGTAACGTACGAGATCTATGTCACCGTATAGAAGTCCTTCGTTGCTGTGCTTCCAGGCTGCCGATTCAATGAACTCTCCAGGACGACTGCCCAGAAGAGTCATGAGTACGACAGAGAATGCCAGCTGCAGGCGTGCGCGTGGATGTGTGAATTGATATTCGTCACATGCCCACATGAACCGAATCAAGTCTTCAGCGACTGGCAAAGGGGCTACCGGCTTAGTATAAGCTCCTGTTGCAATCTTTCCGTTTTGCGCAAGGTCTTTCGTGATGAAAATCTCCAGGTCCTTGTTCTCCGCTGAGTTATACTGGCGACCAGTAAGTAACTTGATGTTTCGTTTGAGTGACGAGAGACGGTTTCGAATGGTAGTATCCGTGATGTTCTCCTCTAGCTGACCAGTCCTAGTTTCAGCGAGCCAGCGAAGAAACAGCTGGATGCGATACACACTTGGTGCTTGTCTGAGCGCAGAATGCACGGGTTCGTTGAGGATGGATTCAGTAAACCTAATCTGTTAGTAATACGTTCGGACATGTGTTAACTCTTAACTTACTCTGCCCAAAGAGCCATAGTGTACTCGTATGACTTGTAACTTGAGGGGATTAACAACGCTTTGACATCCTCGTTTGTAAGCGGAGCTGGTTCTTTTTCTAGCTGAACCAGGGCGCGCAAGTGCGAAAGATCAACTTTACTTCTCTTCTTAGGCGCCATAGTGAGTGGGATAATTGGAAAGGGTCGTAAGATGACTTTGTTAACAAGAGAAGGGAGGAAATACGAAAGTGAATAGGTGGCAAGGAGTACCTGAGCTAGAGGCAGCCATGTTAAAACAGCGCGCTTCGGGTGCAGTGGGCGTAACCGGAAAACTGATTGTAGGATGATGAATGACTGTTAATGGTCGTTTGGGGCTGTGGTAGTGGGGGCGCGACAACAGAGTCGCGACGACTGAAAAGGGTAACCGGGAAAGAACAACAGTTAATTGACCTCAACCCAGCACCGCGAGTTTTGACGGGTGGGACGAGTGAACTTGTTTTCAACGTCCTATGGTCGTATGTGAAAGATATGTTTAAATAATACTATTATCATATTAATAATGTGGTGCCAAGGCTGTCACCTGCTTGCTCACACATCATCGCGGTATCCCAGCCCCATACGAGGCACTGTACACGCAATTGCCAGATCTATCGCTCCTGCTTCTCATGCTCCTAAAATTCCCCATCTTACGTTCCAAAAATAGTTTGGTCATCTTCCTCGTAAAATTCCCACGCGACCCCCCTTAACAAAGCTCAAAACTTATAATCATCGCTCAGCCGAGCGATTCTAGCAATATTGTTCCAGCGCCTGCCTCAGTCAAGTATCTGGTCTTCACTAATTATACATCTATATGTACGCTCGCTCATACGACGAATCACTGGTCACATCTGAAGTCGCTACCCGAGAGCAATTCGAGACACTAACCAAGTCGTCGACCCGCCGGTATTCCCTCCCTCTCCTCATCGTTCAAGTCAATATGGAAGACATCCTTCAGAGCATGTACACGCTCATCTTCTGTCACACACTCTTGCATAACCTCTCGCTCGCTACCAATCGATCTCCGTATTGTAGCCTCAAAGAGAGTGACATTTCCAATGATCTTTTCCTGCGCCTCATCCATGATCATCTTTGTGCTCGTGACAGATTTGGTGAAGAAAGATCTTGGGTGAGTGGACGTGAACCAGGACATGATCTCATAGTCCTGGGGTAGGAACTCGGTCTCGGTGAAGCAGTAAGTCGGTATCCAGACATTCTCTCCATCTTCGGTTGGATCGTGGCAGACACTATAGCACCACAGCTTGTTGGAATGGTTCCCGTACGATTCCGAAATCGCCCGCAACTGCAGTCGTATCTTGCGTGGCGCAATACTTGTCGTTTCGAATCCGTCTTCCAGTGGGTACGGCATGTTCGGGCCCATCGAGCCCATTCCCACATCCACTACGTACCACTGGCCGTCCAGCTTGACGATGTTGAGCATATGGTTCCAGCCATCATATGTTGCAGCCTGGTTGCGGCGGACTTCTGGGTAAGGGCTCATAGCTCGCGACACGCGGCCTCCACAGTTGCGCACCTCAAAGCCCAGAGACCGAAGGACTGTCGCGAAGAAGGTGTTATTTTCCATACACCTTCCACCACGTTGACGTGTCACAATCTTCGTGTAGAGGTCTGTCGGGTCGAGCGTTATAGTTTTGTGCGCGGAGTAGTGAAGCTCTAGGTTTTCGAAGGGGACTTCGCATGTGTGACTTCGCACCAAGGCATGTAGAAAGGGAAGTCCATGCTCCTTTGTTGCAGCGTACAGTTTTTTGGCCAGAAGGGGCGAGTTGAGGTACTTTTGGGGAAGCTGAATACGAGTGAAATAATCGAGTAATTGTGTCTGGCTGTAACGTGGACGGTCTTCATCGCTCAGTGGTAGCTGGGTGAGGGAAGTGGGTACAGAAGTAGACGCCATGTTCGGTATCGATTCAGGAAGCTTGTGTCTGAATATACCTTTTGAAGCCTAGAAATAAACGTACTTATGTATAAGTACGCAAGAGTCGTCGTAGGATTCTAGCGGACGCATGTGGGTGTCATTGCTTATGTAAGACGAGTGCGAAGAGGTGGAGAAGCGGAAACGGGAAAGGCATGAAATTGATCCACTGGATCTGTTGGCAGCGCTAATGCACCTGCGGTTATTTACACACACAAGCGGCAGGTGCCTTCCTGCAGACATGCACACCCGCCATCACGTGCACGACTATCAACTGGTGTTAGAATTATCCGCACAATCAAATGTCCTGGCAATAAAACCAGACGCAAATGCGTCCCGAATCGAGACAGCAACAGCGTACCTAATGGGTGTTTGTCAGCGCGGAATTCTGCAAGGAGGTAAATGCAACTCACGTTCCTCCAACGACCATGTACAAGCCAATGAGACAGATGAGAGCGTTGAATCCAAACTTCATTCGCTGTCCGATCGACCCAGATCGGTAAGCTCTGGAGTCATACATCCACAGAAGAGTCGGATATACGAGGCTGAACGGCGCGAAACATAGCGATCCGGCCAGCCCGAGCAGAAAGTTCAGAATCGGGACAGACTCTGCGATGACGAAACCGAGGATGCCAAGGACGACATTGATGCCGAGCCATGTTGCCCAGTGCACAATGGTGTTCGCCTGCAGGTGCTTCGAATCTCGGAGCAGCCGGACAAAGACGTATTTCGCCGCGACGTGCTGGTAGATACCGACTCCTATGATCAGTCCAGGCAGCAGGAATCCGTATGATATCTTTTTGAAGAGCGTGCCAGCAGAGTCGAGGACGGGGACCGAAAGCCAGATCCCGCAGAATCGGTATATGACCATGGAGAAGACGACATACATTATGCCGACAAGAATTCCGGCCCAAAGGACTGCTTTACGGTACTGTCTTGGCTTGCGCATCTCCGAGATGACAGGCAGGAACATCGAGGAGCCGCTCGTGGAAATGAACAGATTTGCTGATGACACCATGCCGACGATAAAGCCAGGGGAGGAAATGGCTTTGAAACCGAGATCGAAGTCACCAGTCGGTGGCGCCGCGGCGGGGCGGTCTTGACGCCCAACAGCGACGGTAAAGATGAAGATTGCGGCGAAGAAGGTGAAGAAGCCGAACCAGGTCAGCCAGCCGAGGCGGGAAAAGGTGCGGATGGAAGAGCACATTGTGATCATAATCGCTGACACGAGAGCAAACACCACGGTGCACGCTCCATGTTCTGACAGGGCATTCAAGGCAGTCGAAGTCGACACAATGCCTCCAGCCGAGATTAGGATCTGAGCGATGACGATTTGAACTCCAACGAGCTCGCGGCCCACGCGTCCCCAAAGAAAGCCCATCATGTCAGCTAGCACTTCAGACAAAGTTAGTGTCAATGAGACGTGGCCTCGGAAGAGGGACTTACTGTGGCAATCTGGGTGATTATTCCGGAAGACGCCCAAGAGAACCGCGGTATCTGTTTTCGACGCAGTAAGCAAAACTCTTTGCAAGGTCTCGGTGCTCTGCCAAGTACAACATACACGTATTCAAAACGATCCATGCAACAAGTGATAGGCCTCCACCGACTGCACCGAATGTTGCAAGGGCGTTCGGGGTCGTCAGGATGCTCATCGCAAAGTTGATCTTGAGGAACACCACTGTGGCTCGCTGCCAGCTGACGGTTCTGAACTCAACGCCATCGACATTCCTCTGGAATACCTCGAGCGCTTCAGGGTCAATCGCTTTGACTGATCCGGCCTCGCCCATGGAGAATACGGGTATGTTCTTAATGCCGTGATCGTTCTCTGGATGTCGCGCAAGTTCAGATGGAGTTCGGAGAGCCATGTCTGAGACAAGGGAAGTAAAAAGCTTTAGTGATTTACAGAAAGCGATGCCGGCACCAAAATTCGGTGTAAATGTGCACAGATATCCGCTTGGGCTTCGATCTTCGCCATATCCAGACACTCCGCGCAAACACCAACACCGGTGACAGGGGGCGCTCCGCCGATAAGCAGGAGTGTTTTCTGGGGTAGCTTGTTGTGAGTTCGACAGCTCAATCAGGCAGACTTGAGCTTCTCTGTCACCAGCTCCTGTGGGAGAGACATTTCTTGACGGTCGATGGAAATGATACCCGAGTGAGTCGAGCCAATGACTCAACAGGTCAGGAGCGAGAAGTGTGTTCTATACACCGACGTGAGTATCACCTATCTGCGTATGTATTTCAGATCATGTCATGATACCATCTGCACAGATTTCTTATCAGGCTGGTATAGGCGAGATTATTCCCGAAAGTGGTTTCCATAGTGCGGGACAGCTACCGGTATCTTTGGGGATAATTAGTGCGATACCCGATTTAGCGGCCCATATTCGCTCCGAATCTTTAAGGGGCTTATCAAAACATCATCTCACGCCCAACAATTGCTATGACCTGTGTCCGACTGATCGAATAGCGTATCTCGGCTCGAATATACCATCAACCAGCGTAGTTGCTTCAGTGTCCAAACACTATGGAAACTGATTCGACTTCCGTAGATCAAATCAAGTTTCTGTGCATCCTTTCATCTTGGACATTGCCGCCTGCACATCCTCTTCAATGTCATGGAACCACAGCCAGTCCAACCGACCGTTCTGCAGCAGAGGCAAAACCTTGCCCATGTCCGACCCTGCCTCTTCATGCTGGAAGAAAATCATACGGCTTACTTCAGCAGATTGCTCGAGCTGCTTCTGCGCCCTCGGCCGCCGCACGGAGTCGTACGCGTCCAGCGCTGCACGAATGACCGGCGACGAAATGTCTTCGTTTGCACGGCTGAGGGACGCCTTTGCGAGTACGTTGGAGAGGATGACGGCGTCTTCCACGCCTTGAGCTGCGCCGGCTGCCTGGAAGGGTAGGGATGCATGCGCACTGTCGCCCAGGATAGCCACACGGTTGCGATAGTAAGTCGCGGTGTGCGGGTGATGGAAGAACCCCCATTTGATAGGGCTGATCTTGGAGAGGAGTCGACGGAAGCGGTCATCTACGCCAGGCCCCGCAAAAGCAGCCATCATAGCTTCGTGTGTGACTTTTTCCGTCACGCCTGTCTCAGATGTCCATGGCCTGTCATCGGCTGCGCAGAGAAGGAAGTTGAACTCCTGTCATCCTGAGTCAGTAGGGAACAGCTGAAAAGCTTGCCAGCTTACCTCGCCACCTGTGATCCGGTAGGTAACGGCACTTCGCCTGTAGCCAAAGTAAAACTTGGCAACACCTGTAAGGTCTCCAAGGATGTCTTCGGCCTCGTTTATTGGGATAACACCTCTGTAGCAGTACGAGCGTGCATACACAGGCTGCACTTGGGTAAGATACAAAGGTGCTAGGACATGCTTTCGTACTATACTCGTAATTCCATCAGCACCGGCAAGCACGCTAGCATAGGCAACCTCGCCGTCAGCGAAGCGTAGTCTAACCTTGTCTGAATGTTGTTCGATATCTGTCAGGCGTTTGTTGAATCTGACGCTTTCTGTCGGGATGAAACTGGTCATGATGTCAAGCAACGCCTTTCGGTGGGCCTAGATGAGCTCAACATCGATGCAACAGATATTGGTAGATTTATAAGCACATACAGATTTACGAGTAAACTCAGGGTGACCCCACGACGATTGACCATACCATGGTTGATCTTGGCCTGAGAGTTGTGCTCAGCAGAAACGTACAACAGTGAGATGTGAGCTTGAAAGAAGCATCGACATGACATACCAAGGCCTTCTTCAAGAAGTAAGCCCTCGAAGAAGACGTGTTGTGCGTCGGCCGGTTTGTTTCCAACGCATATCTTCTCGTATTTTGGGCGGAAGCCGGGCTCGATCAGATCCATCGCCCGCAGGCCATTTGGGCCAAAGCCAATACCAGCACTGGGCGAGAATCAGAAAAGAGCATCTTGACTCTGGCTAGCACACCAGACAAGGAGAAGCTGACCCTACTGCAGAATACTGGCTCGCTTCTTCGTAGAGTGTGAAGTGCACGCCCTTCTTTCGTAGTCCCATAGCCAGCGCAAGGCCTGCAATGCCAGCGCCCAGAGTCGACGTCAGCTAGCGGTATTGTTGGAGGCGGGTGATATTTGTATACCGACTATGGCAACATGGAAGTTTCCATTGTTGGGCCTGTGCATGGTGATAGCCTTCTGGCAGGTCGGCGTTCAGCAAGTTCAATCTCGATTGCTACGACTTTCGTTGTACTCGGTGCGTCTTTCGTGCAATCCAAGCTCACCAACGCTCAGTGCCAAGCTCGCCAACACTCAGTGAGCGGGAGCGGAGAAGTGGGGCACCGCACGCATTCACTGTGGTAGTGGATACGTCAACTTCAGGCGCTGGTATGCTTGGGCTTCTTGCAGTTCGAGCGTGGAAGACACTCCACCCATATTACCAAAGGAAACTCGCCTGTGCACAACAAAGCCGCGCAGTGATGTCAGGCTTCGCCTCGTACGAAGTAGTTACCGGTAAAGCTCAGCTCAGAAGAGAAGGTGCAATAGCCTAGCCGAGGCGGGCACGCTGGCGATCGCTTTGCGGGGCCCCAGATGACAAAGCCAACGCCATCCACAACCACAACGACTGAATCTCGACAAACATGAGAAAACTATTCTAGCCAAGGAAAGATGATCATCACAAGTTGAAGATGAAGACCCTTCCCAAGACCTCGCCCGTAGGGATGTATGATCAAGGAGCACACGCGCGCTCAAGTGTGCGCAGGATTCTCGCGCAGCAACTAACCACGGCCGTCTGAGTTGCTCACTTCCATCGCGCTGGTGGTGCCTGCAGCCCATCATCTCGCAACGGGCACAGGGTGTCACGGGCTTCTAGTAGCTGTTCTGGACGGGGCGACGAGTTCGATGGACAGTGTGAGCGAAACAGGAGGGAGAATTTGTGTAGCTATCTATATACGCTCTACACTCCTACCCACACTACACCTGCGCGAACAGCGGCTTCCGAGGATCAAACACAGGCCGACGACGACGCAAGCTTTCGAGCTCTCGCTTTCCCAGGGTACTGTTCGCCAACCCAAAGATGTCCTCGTAGTATTCAAACCCCGTCTGATCTGTCTGACACACCGTACCAACCTCAGGCATACTCCCGTTCACAAAGTACCTCGCAATGGCATCGATCGTGCACTTTGACGGGTGTCCAAGTACCGCATGCCCAGCGCCGTTCTGCACCACGATCCTGCTCCCCGGGAAATGCGCCGAGGCCTCGTACGCACCGCTCAGAGGCGTGATGGGATCGAATGCGCCCTGCACGAAGAGGACGGGGTGGCTTGTGTTGATAGCGGTGACAGGGCCGGTGTAGCGCTCTTTTGCGTCGAATTTCCACTGCGCGCACGGCCAGATTTGGGGGCCGAAGCCGTCTGCAAAGGTACCTGCGGCGGCTTGGGCTTGCGTCCAGGAGAACATGTCTTCGACCTTGTCGGCGCGGAAGAGGCCGTCGCCGCAGGTGATGCCGTGGAAGGCGTCGAGGCCCAGATTCCAGGGTATTTCTGGTGTGGTCTGGTTCAGCTGGAAGGAGAGGAGGGTGAGTGCGCCGGCCCAGTCGCGCTTTAGTGCCAGATGGATGATGTGGGAGAGAATGCCGTATTGCAGGGGGCTGTACAGCGTGCCCAGAGTTATATACTTCAAGAGTGCGTATGCGGTGATGTTTCCAGGCTGGTACCAAGGTGCTGGGACGTAGTCTTCGGGCAGGTAGATGGGGTCATCGATAAGCTCCTGGAAGACTTTGGCGTAGGCCTTGTGCAGATCGTCGGCAGTTGTATCTGGGCCAGTCAAGTTGGCGATAGGACACAGCTCTACGCCAGCGTTGATGCACTCGCTGAAAAAGTTCACCAAGGTACGCTCCGTATCACGTGTTTGTGTGATCCATAAACCCGAGGTGTAGTCGCTGAGAAGTACGGTGCTGTCGAGCAGAACACGTCCGACACGATCTGGGAACATGCCAGCGAACGTCTGACCGAGCACAGTCCCGTAGGAGATACCCCAGTACTGCAGTTTCTCTTCACCAAGCGCATCGATGATTTCTAGCATGTCGCGCGCCACGAAAGGTGTGTTGATGTAAGGGCCAATGTCTGCCATACCGGGTGTATTCGCGCAGTCCTCTGCGTACACACCGCCGTCATGCCAGCCCTTTTCGACCAGCGAAGCATACATGTCATGCTGTGGAAGTGTGAAGTTGTACTCTCCGCGCTTAGTCATGGAGTTTGTGGCGTTCGACGGGATGCAGATGAAGGGAATGGTTCGTCCCGTGCCACTATGTTCGTTAGCGTTGGCAGGAAGCACTGACGAGCAGCCAACTTACCGTGGGTCGAAACCGATAACATCGTGGTGTCCACCTAGGCTGTCACGGTACAACGGCCCATCGGAAGCAACCTGTTCCACACCGCTTCCACCAGGACCACCGGGGTTTGTGAGGACACTTCCCATGAACGGCTCCTGGGTCGCCTTGGCCCTAATCAGCTGGAGGTCGATAGTCCTGCCACCCGTGGAATTGGTGTAGTCGAGAGGCACGGAGAGAGTGGCGCAATCAAGAGTCTCATTGCGTGCGTCTATGATGCCCTGGATGGAGTCGGGAAAGTCGAGGTCGCACGGGGCCCAGTCTAACGTGGTTGCATTTTGCTTGTTTTCCGTTGGATAGGCTAGAGCAGAGGAGACGAGCAGCGAAGTCGCTATGGTGTTTCGAAGCATGGTGTGACGACAGAGAGATTGATGAAGAGTGGCCGTGGGAGTATGCACGACATGATGCGCACTTAAGTACCAAACGTGACGGCCACGGCCGCTGTCTTCGCATCCGCAGCTCGCATGGTCAGGCCTCACTGCTGACTGTTTTCTGGGACAAACAATTCTTGGCCTACGATGTCTCTCGGACAGGTTCAGTCCCACATGCACTTTGTTGCGGTGGCAGTGCGGCAGCGCGGCAGTGCGGCAGCGCGGCACGCCTAACTCACCGGCCTTCCGATTCCGACCTCGTCCAGCCGCTCGACTTTCCGATTGGTCTGACGTCAGATTGGTATCGATTCTGCCTCGTTCCCGCGGTCTTGTCCGTCGTGAGGGAAACACTAACGCTTTTGAGGCGTGACAGCGGCAGCTCTGATTGGGCCACTCGCACCTTTTGTGGGGTAGAAGCTCAGCCTTGATGTCACACTCTGTACGCTCGTGCAATCTCGCGTAGCTGCTTGACTTGATCTGGCAGTCGGTGTAGGGAAACATGTTGCGAGTGTCGAGCAAAAGGCTGGCTGGGAGCCGTCTGGGCAGTCAGCAGATGACAGCGAGCGCCACAACCGCTTTTGACTGGGCCTTGGTCTAGCCTGTACGCACTCGCAAATGTGTTGTTGAATGTGCCTCGCATAGCGACCAGGCACGCCTCGAGATTCCAAGCCCCTCTTTCTTGCGTGTACCGGTAGGCCGGGTCATCTGATCAGTACCTCGTTTTTCGTGCCTACAAAACGTGTTTCTACATTGGCGGTCTCAGCAGTGGTCAGGGACGGGGGGTTGGCACACGATGAAGACAACAAGAGCAGCACGTCGGTGGTCATGTGTGAAAGCTCGTGGTCCCGTACCAGCGCGTTAATCTATGCGTTTTGTCTATTCCAACGATGCCGTTGCTGCAATTCTACACCTCCTTCTTGGGGCCGCCGCCGGGCAGCGTCTGCACCTTCTCCTGGAACAGCTTCTCGGCGCCCTGCCAGACGGGGGTGCTGGCGCGGTCCTTGAGCGCCAGCAGGCTCGGCAGCAGGGCGTTGCTAAAGGCCTCGGACGACTCGCGCGGCAGGGCAGACGGCAGGTGGTCAATGGAGATGACCGACAGCGTTGGCCCGTCGCCCTCGACGTCCACCTTGACGGTCGGCTTGTCAAAGGTGGTGTTGATGTTGTAGATGGGGATGGGGTTGTGCGGGTTCGTCGTGTCGCAGCTGACGTCGCAGACGACGCTCAGCTTGCGCGAGGGCGACTCGAGGCTCGCGCGGTCGACAAACGGCGGAATGGGCTTGGACAGGTAGATGCAGTTGACAAAGATGTCCGACTCGAGGATCTCCGGGTACGGCCCGTCGCGCTCCCTGGTCTCGGCGAGGTCCCACTTCTTGATCTCGGGGCAGCCGACCTTCTCGAGCAGGTCGACGGCGCCGGAGCCGCAGCGGCCCAGGGCGCCCAGGACCAGGCTTGTGGGCTTGCGGCCGGCGACCTTCTCTCCGGCGGCGACGTCCTCCTTGAGCTGGGCGATCAGGTCCGACTCGGTGTTGTAGTAGCCGCGGCCGTCGGTAAAGGTCTCGATGCCGGGGAGGGGCTCGCCGGTGGGGTGCGTGAGCTGCCAGGCCCAGGTCTGGAGAGTGTCAGCGCCAGCACAAACACCGCATCACCGTCGCTTCAACGCACCTTGATGGCCAGCGCGGCGCCTGCGAAGCCCGCGTGGTAGCCAAACGCGGCGACGCGGCGGCCCGACTCGTCCTGCAGGAACTCGAGGTCGTACAGCACGCCGCCGCCGCGGGGGAAGCGCGCCAGGACGGTGTCCCAGCCGGCCTGCTGCTTGTAGCAGTGCGCAAAGTGCACCATGGTGTGCTCGAGCGGCCAGTCCTCCTCGGGCAGCTCCTTGAGGCCGATGATGATGTGGTCCCGGGGCGCCTTGGTCCAGCTGCCCTCGGGCACCAGCGTGGCGCCGGCCTCCCCGAACTCGCTGTCCTTGAAGATGCGCTCATAGTCGGGATTGGTGGGGCTGCGCTCGACGTTGATCTGGTAGCCGGCCGCGAGCAGCTTCTTGGTCGTGGCCGGTGTGAGGCAGGACCGGTGCTCGAAGGGCTTGGCCTCGGCGCGGGCGTGCAGTGTGGTCGGCATTGTGGGCGGGAGGGGCAGAGCGAGCAGTTGCGGGAGGGGTAGAGTGGGCAGTTGCGGGAGGTGCAGAGTGGGCAGTTGCGGGAGGTGCAGAGTGGATAACCGCGGGAGGTGTAGAGTGGATAACCGCGGGAGGTGTACAGTGGACAACCGCGGGAGGTGCAGAGTGGACAATTGCAGGAGGTGTAGAGTGCCCAATTGCGCGAGGCGGTCGAACTGGCCTTATAAGCGGACCGTGGAGTTGACGTGGAGTTGACGCGGAGTCACAACTTTTCCGACGAGTTCAACTCCGAGCGCGGCGCGGCGCCGACTCGACGCCGCTACTGCAGGGCAGTCCTCGACCGCGTCTGATTGCACCCTATGACACAGCAGCCGTTGGCGGGGTCTAGATTGGCGCACGTGCATTGGCGACTGACCGCAACGTCGAGCGGGAGGCTCTGATCTTCGGTCGGCGGCACATGTTGAAAATGCGAGTTTAAAGCCGCAGCCCGCCTCGAACAGCGTCAGGGCGCAATGTGCGGCAGCGAGCAGACTCGACCTCTCGTTGAATAAGCCCTTGCATTCGTGCATTCGTGCTTTTGCGCATTCGTGCCTTCGTGCCTTCGTCCATTCGCGCATTCGTGCCTTTGTGCATTCGTACATTCGTGCCTTTGTGCATTCGTACATTGGCGCATTCGTGCATTCGCTGCCGTGCTGTCGCTGGACCATGCCGCCCAAACTCGAGGATGCGCCCTCCAGAGGCCATTCGCGCGACTCGTCGACGGCCAGCGCCCGCCACGCCCACGCGCCCCTGACCCCGAGCCAGCTGCGACAGGCACACGCGCCCTCGGACCGCTCGAGCAGCCCCGAGGAGACGATGCACCGGCCGCGCCGCCAGTCGTACTACGACCACGAGCCGCAGCAGACGGCAGAGAACACGGCGCCCTACAGCATCGACGCCCAGGCGGAGACGCCCTCGGCGCACGACGGCGTTGTCGAGGTCGACCTGGACCCGACGGTGAGGACGAGACTGCTCGACGAATGGAGCGCGCGGCCCGGTGTGGCCCGCAACTACGGCAGCTTCGCGGGCAGCGTGCACTCGAGTGACAGCTTCGGCGGCGCGTTCCCTGGCCTGTCGCGGTCGGCCGCGGGCGAGGGAGAGGCGCCCGATGCGGCGCACGCGCTGCTGGGCGATGCCTTTGCTGACAGCGGTGCCGACAGCGTCGCCGACAGCGGGGACCGGAAGAAGATGAGCACGACGCGCTGGCTGGCCGAGCGCCACGGCATCAAGAGCCAGCGCCTGATGTACCTGCAGTACTACGTTCCCGTGCTGAACTGGACACGGCAGTACAAGTGGAGGTACCTCAAGGGCGACCTGGTCGCTGCCATCACCATGGCCTCGTTCTACATCCCCATGGCGCTGTCGTACGCCTCGAACCTGGCCCATCTCCCGCCCGTCCACGGCCTGTACAGCTTCGCGATCAATCCGCTCATCTACGGCTTCCTCGGCACCTGCCCGCAGATGATTGTTGGTCCAGAGGCCCCTGGATCCCTGCTGGTCGGCGAGATTGTGCGCGAGAACATCAAGAGGGGCACGTCCGGCGAGGGCGACGGCAGGCTGAACGCCGAGATTGCAGGCATCGTCACGTGCATGGCTGGAGCCTTCATCTTCATGGCTGGACTCTTCCGCCTCGGCTTCCTCGACAACGTGCTCAGTCGGCCGTTCCTGCGAGGCTTCATCAGCGCCATTGGTGTTGTCATCTTCATCGACCAGCTGATCCCCGAGATGGGTCTGGCGCGCCTGGCAGCCAAGCATGTCGCCCACGGCAGCTCGCTGGACAAGCTGGTCTTCCTCGCCAAGAACATTCACCGCGCGCACAGGCTCACCTGCGCCATGTCCTTTACCGCATTCGCCATCATCATGTTCTTCCGGTAAGACTGGTTCCAAGACGCAACCTGTCTACCTGCTAATCCGTCCAGCGAATTCAAAAAGCGCCTGCAGCCTCGCTACCCCAGCGTGGCCTACATCCCCGACCGCTTCGTTGTTGTCGTACTCTCCGCCGTCCTGACCTGGCACTACCGTCTCGACCAGCACGGGCTCGCAGTCCTGGGCGACGTCAACTCGTCCGGCAGTCTCTTCTCCGTGCACTTCCCCTTCGACACGTCCCATCTCAAGTACGTCGGCGACGCCGTCAACACGGGCCTGATCATCGCCCTGCTCGGCTTCTTCGAGTCCTCGGTGGCTGCAAAATCCCTCGGCGCAGGCGACTCCCAAAAAGACGGCGTGCAGCTCCCGCTGTCTGCAAACCGCGAGCTCATCGCCCTCGGAACCGCCAACATGACCGGCGGCCTCTTCATGGCCCTCCCGGCATTCGGCGGCTACGGGCGCTCCAAAGTCAACGCATCCACCGGCGGCCTGACGCCCATGTCCAACATCTTCCTCTCCCTGATCACAATCCTCAGCACCGTCTTCTTGCTGCCGTACTTTTACTACCTCCCAAAAGGCGTGCTGTGCGCCATGGTCAGCGTCGTCGCCTACTCGCTCGTCGAGGAAGCGCCGCACGATATCAACTTCTTCCTCAAGATCCGCGGCTGGTCGGAGCTGCTCCTCATGGGGCTAATCTTTTGGATCACCATCATCTGGGACCTGAAGCGCGGCATCGGCGTCGGCATCGGGCTCTCCATCCTCCGCCTGATCAAGCACAGCGTGCGCCCGCGCATCCAGATCCTCGGCCGCGTGCCAGGCACCACGAACCAGTTCGCCAACGCGGAGCTCGACCCCGACAGCCTCGAGTTCGTCGAGGGCTGCCTCATCGTCAAGATCCCCGAGCCGCTCACCTTTGCCAACACGGGGAATCTGCGCTCGCGCCTCAGCAGGCTCGAGGACCACGGCACGGGCGCCGCGCACCCCGCGCTCCCGCGCATCCGCCGCCGCGAGCACAACAAAAACGTCATCTTTGACGTGCACGGCGTCACGTCGCTCGACGGCGCGGGCGCCCAGGTGCTCTCCGAGATTGTCGCGGGCTACCGCGCGAGAGACGTGCGCGTCTTCTTCTGCCGCGTGCCCGGCCCCCGCAGCCCTGTCTATCAGCTCTTCGACAAGAGCGGCATCGTCGACATGTGCGGCGGCCCGCGCCACTTTGTCGGGAGCGTCGAGGAGGCCCTGCGCATGGCCGATTTGGAGCGCCTGACCGAGGAGATGGGGAGCGAGGCCAGCGGGAGTCGCCCGGCGAGCGGCCTGGGTGTTGTGCGATGAGCCGGCGAGCGGGCGGGCGAGCGAGCGGGCGAGCGAGCGAGCGAGCAGGCGGGCGAGCGACTGAGCAGGCGAGCGACTGAGCAGGCGAATCTGACAAGCCAAGTTTGTCATCACCAGTGCATGGAACAAGTAGATGGGATTGCTGTGCATGAACCCTTGCCTCGGAGCGACTACCTACATCTACATCTGCATATCAGGACGGCGTTTGGAGCACATCCAGGCGCGTTTGGAGCACATCCAGGCGCGTTTGGAGCATATCCAGGCGCGTTTGGAGAATGGGCGGCAACACTAGCTTCGCAGTATACAGAATCCGAGAATCAGCAATGTGCACCAGCGGCAGCGGTTTTGGATATTCTTCTTTGTTTATTTGTTTGTGCAAACACCATCCATTCCAGTGCTTGGTGAGCACAATGCCCTCGACGTCCCCCGCAACGAGGCAGTTGTTTTTGGTCACTTCGCCAAGTATAGTGACGGTGAGTCCCAGCCTGCGAAGCTCTTGCGCGGACGCACACTGACCCAGACCAGGAGCTTGAGTAAGCGGCTTTCGCGCGTTCTGGCTACGTGCGCAACGAGCGCTCGTTGCACTTCCACCTCGAGTCGTACGACAGATGCGAGGTGAAGCTGGAGCCGAATCTCTGCGACGCTGGCGTTTACTTTGTGCCAAAGCTGCTCAGGGGGTACTCTTTACATCGTACCGTATTTCACGCGGAAGAGTAGAGGAATCGAGGACCGAAGAAACGCGCAGCACCATCATTCGAGCTGATTGACAGCATCATCACAAGGCCGTGGCCGCAAACGCCAACGGTCGAGGAGGACGACACACCACTCGTAACGGACCGGAAAAAAAAGCGCCATGATACACAAGCGTCTCGAGAGCAACTACTCTGCGCCTCCGCATCTCGCATCAATGACCGATTCGCCCTTGCCGGCAACACTGACTGCAATGTCGTGGCTCAGGCCGCACGCACTACTTAGAGATCGATACCCCGAGAAGCGCCGCCCGTGTGACTATAAGGGACTGGCTGAGATACAAACGCCAGCTCTGTTGCGCACAAAGCTCTCATCAAAGGCCACTACGGCATCTCAGCATCGATCCCGTGCGAGAGATGCACACGACTGGGCTTGGGGTGTAGGGTGTATCACAGCACATGCTACGAGTAGAAAATCGGAGATCGACACGCTCTTTGAGCTCGGCTGACGATGCAACACCTGCAGATCGACACAAGTATATGTCAGTATATGTCTTCCCTGAAGGCAAGGACGGCGGTGCTCTGAAAAGAAGCGGAGAAGCCAGCATTACGCAACACACCAGCAGCCCTTTCAAGTCCAACAACAGCTCTTCCGCAAGCGACCACGTGCTCTCACACGACGGTATGTCCATCCATCAAGGTAACCACGACACCTTGACCAGTACGCATCAGTTCTCCTCATACCTCCCAAATCACACTCGGCTGAGAAGTATACACTCACTACCCGACTCAGCCACACGAGACACCTGGGCCACCGCGTTCAAAGCCGCAAAGCAGAAGTACCACGACGCGTACGTACCGCAGCAGCGCTCCACCACGAAGCGCCGCAACGAAAGCGCAAACCGGTTCGCGCACCAGGAGCTCCTACGCGGTCACTGCAGCGTGCGATTGCTATCCGGACTGCTACACCAAAGTCATCGAACGCAGGGAGGCATTGGGGTAGCTTGGGTGGCGGCGTGGGACCTGCCGTTTCCACAATGGGCACGATGCGGCGTGCAATGTGCAGTGCTGCTAAGCGCGACTGTCATCTCTACACAACGGATCGCTGCGGTGTTGTAGAAACGATCACAAAGATGCACCGCTTCGTCTCTGCGTATGGCAGCGCTGCAAATATACACGAAGCGCTTCGTCGCATGCGAGATGCTAGAGCAAAGATGAGCAAGAGTAAAGACAAAGGAAACAATCCCACTGTTTTGGAACGGGGAGCATGTCCATTCTGACCAGTCTCCTGTAGAGACGTCACTCATACAGCATTCGAATCTGTGCACGCGCCTCCCATACCTAGTACAAACACACCGATCAATCCATCCAACTCTGTCTTTCTCAAACCCAGTCTTCACAAACGTAAACGCAGACGCACCCACGGCGCTGCTGAGAGCCACTGATTCACCGTGTCGGCGCGATTTGCTTGCAGCCGACTCCTTCGAGCGAGAAGGATGGATGCTGTGATCCTGGACCGTACGTACTCCCCCGCACCTCGTTGATGAGCGTGCGTATTTGACCTGGTCGGTCCCTTCTAGGACGTTTTACCTTGACGTGCGTGCATATGTTATCTGGTCGGTCCCTTCTAGGACGTTTTACCTTGTTGATGTGCGTGCGTATCCTACCTGGTCGGTCCCCATTCTAGGACGTCTTACGTCGTCGACGTGCGTGCATATTCTACCTGATCGGTCCATTCTAAGACCATTTTACCTCGTTAAAGTGTGTGCATACTTTCCCTGGTCGTCTCCTTCTAGTCACTCTTCCCTTGCCAGCTGACGATCTAGGCGCGAGCCCACTCCAGCATCCGACGCCTGTTCCTCAAACGCCCAGCTATCAGCCTCAAGCCTTCATCGCCCATCTTGCCCTTCTCGACGCCGTACCCACCCACCCATAACAGCGACGTCGCAGCGCCAAGTCCAATTCGCAGCATCCCCACGCACATCGCAATTTTCGCCCTGCCAATGGCACACGCGTCGCGATAGCCGTTGGCACGATTTCGCTTCCCTCGGGCGGATTTGGCAGTTTTCACGTAGCCGATCTTCCCTTTCTGGTCGCTGCCAGGCGAAGGACGTGCGTCGATTGACCGTTTGTGTCTAGAGGAACCGCTTGACATGCCTCGTTGCGGAGGTCGGGATGCCCGTTGCAGCGCCGGACCCTTGGAGGATGCATATCAGACGCTTGAAGTGTGTGTCGCCGCGGAGACTTCCTCGTCGCCGTGGACCGCGGTGAAATCCTCCGGCCGGCACTTTTGAACGACAGCTGGCCACGTCGAGCCGCGGATCGATGCTGGTTCCAGCTCTCCCCGGTTTCTCTAGCGGCGTCTGCGAGCCCAGCGTGGCCGTCTGGCTCGAGGACTCTCATCCTCTGACGCGGAGCATATGCAGATCGCATCCAGTCATGCAACGCCATCGCATTGTGTGGTAATCCTGCCCTGGAGCTCCAGCCCGCAATGCCCGTTGTAGCCCAACACAGTCCCATCGCAGCGATGCGCCCCGATGCATGCCTTCGCATGCCCAAACGGCGCGCCCGAGATCAGTCCGTCGTCAATTTATTACCTGAACAAGCGTCCAGCTCGCAGCAGCACGCACAAAGCAGGCGTCGTGCATCGCACCATTTCCACGCGGCCAGACCGGAACGACATGACCAGGTGTCCACAAACGGTCGCTTCGCTTAGGTCACTCGTACGATGCTCGAGTGCGTCCGAATGAGGTAATTTGAGCGCCGTTGAGGCGCCCGATACTCGCCCAGAAGGGCTCTTTTCTCGAGATTCGTCCGCCGCTGCCAGAAAGATGTGTGTGAGCGGGCTGATCGACGGCTGCGAGGGTGCTGAGTGGTGGGCAGTGATCGTGTATGCACGACTTTGCACGCGCGGTGCTGCATGCCATTCGATGCCTTGTGCTGTCAATGCCCATCAGGTGGAGGAACGGCTAGCGTACCCTCCCACCGGCGCCGTGCCACGCGCTGCGGCGCGTCAGAAACGTTAATTAACGGGCTTCGCGAACATCGTACGGTTCTGCGTCTGAACCTTGCATGCCCGCGGTGGCACATCGGCGACACAAATCCAACGCCCATCATCATGTGCCCCGACTCTGAGGCCGGGACTGCACCTATCGGTCATGACCGGCGTGGTAATGTAACGTGGAGGTAGGCAGAGGAGGTGCGCGCTCTACAGTTGCGCCTCGAGTTCAGGACGATGGCAGCGAGCCGGGTGAGGAATCCTTCGACGGGGCGAAAGCATAGGAAGCAAGGTTCCGTGCCGCCTGCCCGCTCTTCTCTTCCATTAATTACGACTCGCATTCGACCGTCTCGTAATCGTACCTCCGCAGCCAACATGCTACTCCGACCGGGTCTCCATTCGCGCAAACTGCCATTAGTAGTACGAGGATTACCTCCTGGCTCTCGCTCGGAGCCCTGAGTGTACTCAGCACTCCCACACGCGTCAGGGCTCATCTCTACGCCCATGCTTAGTGCTCTGCGATGCTGTGCGTCGGCGGATTTGTGCCGTAAAGTCTAGAACTGAGAGTTGGTCTTTGGTCGACAGAATGCGGGGAAGCGAGGTGACGTCAAGCATTCCTAGCTGACCTCGGGGCGCAGGTACAAGACAGGAAGGCCGCAGAAGTGTAAGAACGCCAAAGATTACACACCGCGCAACTGGCGTAAAGTGGATGTGTGGGGAAGCAGGAACTTCTTCGGTGTACTCACTTGTTCGCGTTAGTTCCTCGGCGTATTTTCTGAGGAGATGGACGATCTCCAATACTTCATCTCTTGGCCAAGCGCGCACCTCGATAACGGGCGCATGAGAACCACAATGAACGACAGGGCAAACCGATGTGGGAAAGCTGTTGACAACGCTCCGTGTCGCTCCGCGGTGCTTCTGGGTTACCGCTCGACCCTTTGCCGTGGTTTGAGTCAGCTGTACACGGAGTTGGGTAGGAACAGGAAAAGATCGCGGCCTTCTCGCTCACTTTCGGCGACCTGTTAACATACGCTTGGATGTACACGGTGAGGCTACCTGAGCCTCCTCGCTGTCCAGAGCGGTAGTCTGCGTGCCGCGAAGCTTGTCATTCGTGGGAGATGAAATGGCGCGGCATCTACGTGGGGTCCACGTGCAGCGTCAAGGATGAATCCTTTTGGGAACTCCCGGTAACTACCAGGGTATCATCGTGTGTCCTGAATCGCGCAACTGGACGTCGAGCCGCGAGACTCAGACCGACACCGCTTACCTGTTTGGGATTGTGGAATGTTGTGGAAATGCATTGTTACAAGGGTGTAAATTGCCTCTAACGGGTATCGCTATATGTACTGAATCACGCAGAGCATCAGATCGAGTGCAGCTGTGCGCGTGACCATTGCTCTTCTGCGCAAGGGCAAGGAATTTTACTGAGGGGGCACGAAAGGCTCGACAAGCATCTTGGAGAAGCTACAAACATTGTTAGTACGCGTCAGATGCAGCGGATGGAGAACTTACTTTTCCAACTTCTCCTTGCCACGGACTTCCTCGACGAGCAGTGGCATCTTGATAACGTTGAACTCGTCGTAAAGCTCCTCAATCTGGTCGAGGTACTTCTTCTGCATCTTTCTGCGCGCATTACACTGCTCACATGGGTTGTCCTGCTTGGGAAACAGTAGCTGATTGACAACAATCGAATGTGTGTCGATCTCATAGCTGTTGAGCTCCTGGATCATGCGCTCTGTCTCGTAGAGCGACAAGAACTCAGGAATGCAGACACAGACGAATGTGGTGAGGTCTGCATCCTTGAACTGACCGTTGACCTCAGCGATGGTCTTTTGTAATGCGTCCATCTTCTCGACAAGCTCGTCCATGCTCTGACCATTGGGCAGACGTCCGCCGCCACCGAGGAAGCCGTTCAACATAGGGCCGAACTGACGGGACAGCTGCGAAACCTTGCTGAGTGCCTTCTCCATGACAGTAGGGAACTGGAGGAAGCGCAGTGTGTGACCGGTGGGTGCGGTATCGAAGATGATAGTCTCGTAGGACATGGACTTGACCTGCTTTAGGACTTCGGCGAAGGACATGGCCTCATCAACACCGGGAATCTATAAGGGCTGTCAGTATATGTTCTGCACACGCGTCAGTGCCCATGAACATACGCTGAATGCTAGATCCTGCATCATGTTGCCCATGCCACCAAGTCCAGCCATAGGATCCTGACCTTCCTCACCACCAGCAGCGAGGAGATCCTGTATGCTGCCATTAGGATCAATCTCCATAGCGCTCAAGTTGTCAAAACCATTGACTAGTCGCGCATCCTTGCCGAACTTCTGGTTGAAGGCATCTGACAGGTTGTGGGCGGGGTCGGTCGAGATGAGGAGGACGGATTTTCGGTGCTTTGCGAGCTGGATGGCGAGGGAGCAAGAAGTGGTGGTCTTTCCTACACCACCTTTGCCACCTACGAAGATCCATCGTAGTGACTTCTGGTCGAGGATGGACTGGAGGGTGGGCTCCATGTCCTCGGCAGGGGTGTGGAGCTTCTGAAGGGCTGCGGTAGTCGCCATCGTTGGTTCGAGAAAGTAGACGTCTGGGTGTAGGGATGTATATAGAAGTGGCTGCCTTGACTATATGCGCCGTCAGTCAAGCTCGATCTGGCTTCAATATTGCAGCTTCTCGAACATTCCAAGCACCGTAGGAGCGATTCGTGCATTTGGTCGTCGATTGCAGGAGTAGTTATGCGCGGAGACCATGTGCGACACTTACAAGGAGGTATTCAAAATCTCAACTTCTCTGCGAGCGTTGCGTGATTTGTTGTGAATTGGGGCATCTGCATTCGAAAGTTGATTGATTGCGGGGCGCGTCATAGCGCCGTTCAAACGCGGGCGTCTTCCCATTTGCGCCACAACGCCACATTTCAAGCAAGGAATGAGGCATGCTTCTGATTTGATTGCCTGTATCCATGACATCCTACCACAAAACTTGCTCATGAACCTACAAGCTTTACGACGTTAAAATGAACGCTCAACAAGGACTGTCGTAGTGTTGTACAGAAGAGCCCCGCCCATTCCAAACTTGAGCCAAATCGACCTGATGAATCCGTGTCCATCTTTCTATGCGCCAAAACACCGTTTCAACCCGCCATCGTAGAGGCCCGGAAAGTCTATTTCTTCTTGCCCTTTGCCTTGCCCTTACCGGCAGAGCCAGTGGAGACAACACTGCTCGCGCGTGACGTTGCAGGAGAGGCTTTGCCCTTTACTGTGTCGAGGGCCTTGTTCTGTGGACTGTCAGCGATTGTTCTTGTCATATTGAGAATGCTAGACTTACCTTGACACCATTCTTGGCCTTCTTCTTGACAGGCTCCTCCTCTTCCTCTTCGGTCTCCTCTTCCTCAAATGCACGCTTGCCCTTGCCGTTCTTGACAGTGTCACAGCCAAGCTCACGAACAACCGTCTGGATGAGCGTCGTGCAACGCCGACCAATCTCCTGGGGCGTGCGGCTGAGGAAGAACCAGTCAAAACGGAACAGAGGTGATTCTCGGATCTCGTTGCGGATGTCGTCGTAGATGTTCTCGCCTTCGACACCGTGCTTGTGAAGCATGACAAGCAAGAATCGGTCTTCCTCTTCAGTGTAGACCTTCTTGTTTGTTGTCGAGACGGTGTACTTAATGGTCATCTGTTGCAGAGGCATCCTGTACATGCCGATCTTCTTGGCGAGCAAGCGCTTCTTGTTCTCCGAATCACGAACACGCTGCTCACCCTCCTCGACAACGTTGATGTACTTCTGCCAGTTCTCAAGCTGCTTGTACTTCTTCCAGAAGACCTTGGCGTATTCCTTGATCTCGTCGGAACCCTTACCGTCAACTTCGTCGGCGATGCCTTCAAAGTTTTGTCGCCCATACTTAGCGGAGCCATTCAGGAATTGCTGTAGATCTCGCTTGTTCCACTCTGGAAAACCCTGCTCAATCAAACGCTCCTTCTCGGCCTTTTCTTCCTCTGTCAATGGCTCGGCGTTATCGATATCCTTCTGCGCAAGCTCCTGGTCAGCCTCACGGGCCTCAAGATCTTCATCAGGACCATCAGGAAGTGGCGCTTTGAGGCTGTTCTCCTTTCGGTACCAGGCAGTTTCCTTGTCCTGGAGTTCTGCAAGCTTCTCCGGAAAGAACTGGTAGTCGTGAATGACAACCTGCTTCGGCGCACGAGGGACCCTAGGCTGCTTACTCTCTGTCCGGCCACCAGTCGCCAGCGCATTGCGGTAGTACTTGTCGATACCATAGTTCTGCTCCTTGCGCTCACGCTTGGAGGGATTGATCCAGTTGAGGCCGATATCCTTCTTGCGAGGCTCGAATGTCTCACCGTTCCACTCGTACGTTGAGTCAGAAGTGAACTTCTGTAGGTCATCAAGACCGAGCTTCTCGTACTTCTGGTTCAGCTTCGCAGTTGCCTCCTCACCGCGCTTCATAACTGCGTCGAAGTCATCGTCGCCCATATCCCCAGTAGCAGCTGCGCCAACAGCACCCTTGCTGTTGAAGACCTTCTCGGCACCGTGCTGAATCATGGTGAGGAGCTCGTCCTTCGAGGCGGCGTTCTTAGCAGGTTGTTGCGAACGTCCTTGCTGAATGACCAGTTGATCGAGACGCAGCTTCTGTGCTGCACGCTCCAAGACCTTTTCCTCGATGGCACCCTCTGTAACGAAACGGAAGACGTGAACCTGTTTCTTCTGACCAATACGATGGGCACGATCCATGGCTTGAAGATCGGCCTGCGGATTCCAGTCACTGTCAAACAGCACAACAATGTCGGCGGATGTCAAGTTGATTCCCAGACCACCAGCACGGGTTGTCAGGAGAAACAGGAATTTCTCTGAGTCTTCCTTGTTGTAATCGTCGATGGCTGCGATGCGGTCTTCGTGGGCGGTCGAACCGTCGATGCGGCAGTACTGATATCCACGCATGACCGAGTAGTCCTCCATGATGTCCAAGACACGACTCATCTGGGAAAAGATGAGGACTCTGCTTCCCTGGGCCTTCATGCGTTTGAGAAGCTTGTCCAACATAACCATCTTGGCAGCGTTGTTGACCAGGTGCTCATCGGTGGTGTAGGGTGGGCCAGGCTCGGCGCCTTCGAAGAGGTAAGGGTGGTTACAGCACTTGCGCAGCTGCATGACGATGTTGAGGAGACGAGTCTTGGACTCTTTATTGCCAGCGCCACCGTTGACTGCGTCGATGTCCTTTTCGAGAATCTTCTTGTACCATTGAACCTGCATATCGGACAGGCCAACGTACAGATTCATTTCCTTCTTGGGCAGAAGAGACTTCTCGACATCGGCCTTGACACGTCGAAGCAAGAAAGGTCGCAGGACCTTGTGGAGCTGTTGCACGACGGTGTCCGAGTCCTCATTTTGCTGCGAGAACCACTCGTCGAATGCGGAAGAGTCGCCGAACACGTCTGGCATTAGGAAGTTGAGGAGAGCCCACAGCTCGTGGAGGTTATTCTGAAGCGGGGTACCAGTGATCAGGAGTCGGTTGCGAGAGTTGAACATGCGGACCATCTGAGCGAGGGAAGACTCCTCGTTCTTGATACGATGCGCTTCGTCGATGATGATGTACTCCCAAGCGAACTTCTTTAGGGCAGCCTTCTCGCGCAAAATCATCTCGTAACTTGTGATGCAGACATCGAAGTTCTCATCGACCAGTTCGTCACGGATGAGCACAGCACGCTCTTCCTTGTTTCCTTGCAAGACAAGGACCTTGATCTCGGGAATCCACTTGGCGAATTCACGCCTCCAGTTGTCCAGTGTCGACTTCGGTACAGCAACCAGGTGGGGTCCATTAATGCCGGCGATGAAGCGCAGATAACCGAGGAAGGAGATGGTTTGAAGAGTCTTTCCGAGGCCCATCTCGTCGGCCAGAATACCAGAGATACCGTTTTCGTGCAGCGATATCAGCCAGTTGAGACCAGCGACTTGGTAGTCACGCATGGTGCCCCCCTGGATGTAGCCTGGCGACTCTCTGAAGACGGTCTCGTTGTGTCCGCCATGCTTCTCCTCACGCACAAGCTCATCATCCTCCTCTTGTTCGGTCTTACGACGACGCTCGGCAGCAGCTCCGCCCTTGCGCACCTTGCTAGCCTTCGACTTCTTGGCCTCTTCTACGTCTTGTGCGTCGATCTTGGCGATAGTGTCCTTGATGTGCGGGTTGGGGTTCGTGTCGATGAAGTGACGGAACAGGTCTGTCAGGCCGAGCAGGTATCGGAAACGTCGAACTGTGTCGTCTTCCTGTAATGGTACGTAAAGTCAGTTGCGGTGTATTGTGGACGCACGCCATGCGCTGCCAACGTACCTTTGACGCGCCCAGGCGGTCGTGCTTCTTTCCGTAGATGCTCTTACGCATGTTCATCTGCTCGGCGCGTCGTTTCCGGCCGTCGACTGGCGCATCTCCTGTCACGCTGCTAGCTGTGGTGTTGGGTTGTGTGTCCGAGTCCTGCGGTTATTAGTTGACTGAAGGAGGCGCGTTGGTCGCGTTATACATACTGTGTAGTCGGGTGTGTCCAGATTGTACTGCGATCGCACAGTCAGCTTTCTTGATCTCATTGTTCAACCCCCCACTGTAGTCGAGCATGCTTCAAGTCGCGCCTCGTGGAAAGGCGCATTGCGCGTTTGTATGCCACTCACCCCAAACTTCTTGAAGCCTTCAATTTTGTCCTGGTCCTGCGTTTCGACGTCTTCGTGGGCCGAGTTATTTGCCGTCGAGGGGTCAGACTCGCGTCCATTGCTCTTGCGCGCCATGATGGCCCTTATGGGCTATTCGCCGCGTCTTGGTCGTGTAAATGCTCCCTATGAACTGCGTGATGTCGGCTAAAAAGCTTCTTGATTGTTTCAAGCGTGCGGGCGATGAGTGTGGTGGGCGCGTTCGAGTCGCGGAAACGCGAGGTGGAGTCAAGTGAGCACTCCGAAGCCCTGTGCATGGCCAAAAGGTTAACGCTAGCGCGTTGTTACGGCGGACGCTTGAACCACTTACGCCGTTCCATGATGGCCGTGTCTCCTTCTTGTTTGGTCGATCTTAGAGCCACGCCACCGGACGATTTGGACATTTGGTTCGCAACGCGTCAAATGAATTGAGTTTTGTGGCTACTCAGAACTCATCTGGCATCAAGAGCATATAACACGTACGACACACGCGTTCATGAGACATGACGTCAAATTCGAGGTAGCATACATCTTGTCAAAAGATCGTCTACATGCGCACCCGCGGACGAGATTGGATCTTTGCTTTCCGTTCAAAATATCATCTATTACTTCTTCACACCTTCATCCCATTGATAGCCAGCGCCTCCGGCTCCCCTTCCTCGTTCTCATAGAACGAACTTGTTTGGACTTCGCGTAGCCACAACCGCCAACTCTTATCGACACACTTCTCGTTCATTTTCTTACAGCTCTTCGCCTCTTCTTCGCTCAAATAGCTGACCTTCTCCACATCACCTCCAGCAAAAACCAGCGCTTTGGACAGTAGTTCACAATTCGTCTGAGTGTAGAGCGCCCGGTATACAGCCTCCTCAACACTCTTTCCCATCGTGGTGAACCCGTGCTTATGTTGCAACACTACAGGGCTGGAAGGGTGCAGTTTCTTTGCTAGTGCTTTGCCGAGGAGTTGGTTCTTGATCAGCATGTCCGGCGTAATCTCAACCTTGCCGACTAGTTCGCGGTACGCGTCTTGTGCATCGAACACAGGGACACCGTTTGATGGGCTGCCGAGGAAGCCTGCCATGTGAAAGACCGGTCGTACGGGAATACTGGCGAGTGTGAATGGGATCACTGTCTCGCTGTGTGAGTGCACCACGCAGTTGATATCTGGGAAACGTCGCAGGGTTTCGCCATGGATGAAGCGTTCTGAGTAGCCTTGCGGCGCATTCGGGTCCACCGGCGAACTATCACAAACTCTGTATGAGACGAAGTCTTCTTGCGACTTCACAAGGGCAGGCGCACCAGGATCATAGGCTGCGATCAGGTATTGGTCCGGTGCTAGAGGGTGCCGGAGAGAGATGTGGCCGAACGCGTCGACGAGGCCGTGCCGGTGGAGGATGTGGTTTGCGCGGATGATAAGGCGTAGCGCTTGGAGTAGCGGCGCAGGAAGATCAGTCATGGTTCGCATTGTGGACGGTCGTGTGATGATAGAGGGAGCAATGGACCTATGTTGGGTTGTAGGAGTCGAGATTTGGGGCATCGATGTTGGGGTGGTCGAGAGGGTAGGGCGGCGCTGCGTCGTGATTATGTCTCTTTTGGTTGGACGTATGGACGGGTTGGTTGGTATGTAGACCGGCGTTGTTGGTTCAGAGTTGTCGTCAATATCGGTATGGAGGACAGGATTGAGAGTGCGATGTACCAGGGGAGCGTTAAGAAGTCCGTAAGTCGTGAAATTCTTGTCGCGTATGCCTACGCGATCGTCGAGAGCGTCCAGGATAGATGTATGGGTCATGAGAATATACAGGTCCCATCAAAAGTCCAGCTCATTGTTTTTGGTCAGTGGGGTGATCTTTATGGTAGTTGCTTGTTGTCCCTAGTTCTTCGTAGTGTGACAATCGCCGTCTTGAGTCGTTTCGTGACGGCTAAATTTGATGAGCGCCTCACAGAGCTTGGAACATGACACCCGCCATTTTGAAGGCAAGTCGGAACATCATAAAGATCGATGGCTTTGACCTGTCACTATAATGGCAAGGCTGCCCCCAATGCTGTCTGGTATGGGTGCACAGACTGCAGGGATCGCAGCGGAATGACGTGAGGGGACCCGCGACCGTTAGCTCCGTCCGGACGTCGGGTCAAGCTCACGGCAAGACTGCGCAAAAGCTGCCATGTGCCTGCTGTCACGTACGCTTTTATCACGAGAGTAGAGAGTGTGGCTGATTACTTGTCGTTGATATTTGTGACGTTCTTTGTTCCTGCCTGCACACGCGCCTGAGCGAGCATTGCGGTACATAGTTTGCACCTCGATCTTCGATCTAGAGACAAGCGACAACAGTTCCACTTGATCTTACCGTCGCTATGGTCTCAAGTTGGTTAAATTTGTTCATTACAGTCTCCACTGCTGCAGTGCTTGCCCTCTTCTACGACTTCAAGAGCTGGCAGAGTTATGGTATGTGACGAGGCTGAAGCAGCATTTTGTGACAACGCTGATGCACAGCAGGAACCGGTGGCACACCACCAACACTTCAAGGCTACCTGAAGATTCGAAGATGGGGCCTGTATCTGCTGTACAAGCGGCAAAATCTGCTCGATCCATCACCAATCCCAGACACAGGCGTAGCATACATCAAGCCCGATAAGGTGCCAGAACGGCCAGGCTCGCCACCAGACATCGTTCGCTGGACCCTTCCGCAGCGACAACTTCCCCAGCCTATTACAAAGGTCGCGTTGACAGAACTAAGCGATCTCATGCAGACTTTCGCCAGCACTTCGCCCTTTTCTGAGTATATCGAGACTAGGCCGAGCGAGACAGAAGGCGGGACTGGACCTGCAATCTACGTCAAGCCGGATGTGAACACCATCAACCCCGTTGCACATAAAATCTTCTATGAAATCGCACATGTGCATCCGAAGGAGAATTCACTGCATGTCTACGTCAGTCCCAAAGACGCGAAGACCGTGGTGAGCAAGGGCTGGGGTCAGCGTTTCCCAGTGACTTGGTTGGCACCCCCGAGCTGGATCATGCTGTATGCACCAAGAGATGAGAAGGAGCTCGAAGTCGTAAAAGACATTGTCAGGGCTGCGATCAGTTATGCAATTGGTAGGGAGGTCTCTTGAAAGGCCTGAGTACGGCCATGAAGCACACATATGTCACTTTTGTCAATATAAGACCGTGCACTTTCCAAATTGTGCTCAAAAGATGGCATGTTCGAAGTGTTCTACTCAAAAGACGATGACATAATCGAGCCTTGAGCAGGACTGGAGGGCTTCATCGGACTGAAAAATATGTCCGTAGTACTCTTCGTATTTCGGATGCCACAGCCTCAAAAACTGCAGTTTACATTAAATCTTGCGTCATCGCATGTTTAGTAACAGCCAATCGGAACAACACTAAGAATATTGAGACAACACCTCAGGGCGGAGATCCGGTCAGGTGCAGATCACTGGAGCTACCCGCTAGCTCAGCTCCACCTGAGGTTGACTATTAGACAGTAGACTGCACTGCATCTAAGCTAGTCACAACACTCGAGCTCACATAGATCACATTAGATACCCCGATATCACCTTCGATCTCTTACTCTCGATGGGTAGTATCGGCACGACCATGAAGGTTCTCATTATCGGAGCAGGTGAGTACCCCATGACCACCACAGCAAGGGCCACTTATCGATCGACTCTATAGGCCCCGCTGGATGTGCATTAGCACATGGACTCAAGAAAGCTGATATCTCTTACCGCATCTTCGATAAAGGCGAGGATGTATATCGACATCGTCACTGGGCGTTCACCCTGGGTTGGGCACGACCATATCTCCTGGGTCTGCTTCCCGATGAGATCGGCGCGCTGCTAGACACTTGTGCCGTCGATGCAAGCATTGATTGCGCAGCGATTGGCGAGGATAGGATCGTGCTCTATAACGGAAAGACTCGCGAAGAAGCTTTCGCATTTCCAATCCCCAAGGCGAAAGAGATGAATATCCGAAAACTGCGCATCCTCCTCGCGGAGAGCCTCGATGTGAAATACGGGAAGAAGTTCAGTCATTACGAGTTACCATTGAATAACGGAGTCAAGGTATTCTTCGAAGACGGATCAAGTGAACAAGGCGACGTTGTCATTGGCATTGACGGCGCAGGTTCCGCAGTGCGGCAGTGTCTGATCGACCGCGGAGCCACTCAGGAGACGCTCCCCTTCGCACTGATGAATTTCAACGCATCATACACAAAGGAACAAGCTCTTTTTATAAAGGAGCGTCTACATCCGCTGGTCGACATTGCGATACACCCAGCAGGCCATTACATCCGAGCCAATGTGCTCGACATGCCGGATGTCGAGGACCCAACCACATGGACCTTTCAGATCCTGTCGACTTGGCCACTGAAGAATGTGGAGGACTACGATAACGATACAGATCGGCTGAAGAGGTTGAAAGCGCACGTTGAGCGAGATGGGTGGGCAGAGCCGTACAAGAGTGCGATTGAGTGGATACCCGAAGAAACCCCTGTGCTGAAGGATCGGCTCAACATCTGGAAGACAGAACCGTGGAACAATCAAGACGGACGAGTGACATTGTGTGGCGATGCGGCGCATGCGATGACGTTTCGTAGGTTTGATCTCTGTTCACTATTCAAGTGGCACTAACGAGAGACCCAGACCGAGGTCAAGGAGCAAACAATGCCTTCTTCTCCGCACACAGCCTGGTCGAAGCCCTCAGATCCGTCCACGACGGTATATCTACTCTGAAAGACGCGATAACCACCTATGACGAGAGTATACTGAAGCGCGGCGCAAGTGAAGTCCAGATATCCAAGTCGCAAAGCTTCTACACCCACGACTGGCCCAACTTCATCAACAGCCCTGTCATAACACTGGGAACAAAACCGAGTCACGCAGCAAAGAGCGAAGGATACCAGTAGGTATATGAAAGTATTCATTAAAAGCAAGTGCATCGTATCAGCCGTGAATCGATGGTATGCATGCTATGTAAAAACCTCAAGTTCCATGTCGTCATTATCATGCCATGTACTTGTTGCGCAGGTTGGCCTTAACCTTGTCCTCATAGTTAGACTACTTACTATTATAACGTACCTCACGGGCGAGTGGAATACCGAGCGAGTGGAACACCTTTGCTAAGCCCCCACCAAAATCAACCCTACTTTGGCCCAAAACAACCTACGTTGGCCCTGCACAGGGCAAAGCAACCTTTAATATTACTTAGAGACCTCTTCTACTCTATCCTTGCATGTTTGCGCGTTATGTCTAGTCTTGTTAAACTGTTTACAGCGCCTTTTAGTTAGCTTAGCCCTATCAGCGCGCACCTGCTTCTTTGCCTTCTTCCTATTACTACGCTCCCTAAACTCCTTTAGAGTAGTTAATCACTAGTCTTCCTTAATTATTAGGGTCCCTTCTGCCTAGACTTGCTTTCTCTTGTGTGATTTCTAGTGTGTAGTGGCCTTGTTAGCTGCTTCAAATTCAGCAATCTGTATCTCTGCAAGCACAAGCTTGTGCGTGACTATTGCTGCGCCCTTTATGTAATAATTAAGCGCGCTTATTGTAGAATTTAGTAAGCTACCCTAGTATTTCTTAAACTTGTCTTAAATTAGAGTAGATTATAACCTAAATTTAAGGGTATTGCTTAGGGTTTGCAACTGCTAGGGTTTGTTGTTAATAGGTAGTTATAGTAATAGAGTGCGCAGCTTTACGTTAAGGGCTATTATAATCTATTAACGTGGTTTATCACCGAGCCGCCAGGTATCACCGAACCGCCACCCCTTGCCAATTTTGCGACTGTTACAATAATTATTACAATGCCATCACAACGCAACACGCAATCACCCTATAACAAAGGTACACTATACCTTGCTATCTAAGCTACAAAAGCTACTATACCTAATAGTATAAATCACGCGTCTAAGGCCTTTAGTATTCCCTAATTAATATTAAGAGACTAACGTGTAGGAGGGCTTACACAACGCAATTATAAGGCTAATTTAAAGAAGCTAATAAAGGTAGAAGAGGAGGCAATAGTTAACTGTATACTTAAGCTAGACAGGCAAGGAATAGGCGCAACAAAGACTATAGTGCAAGATATAGCTAATAATCTGCTTACTGCACGTGGTGAAGGACCTGTTAGCAAGCTCTAGGTAAACAGGTTTAACACATATACCTAATAAATTAAGCTTTAATATAGCTAACTATATAATTGTTAACAAGCCCTAAATAAAGATACACGCATTATAACGCCCTAGTTTAAGCTAGTTAGGAATACAAAGGAGAAGTACAGAATCCTAGATAGAGATACCTACAACTTTAATAAGACTAGGTTTATAATAGGCATAATTAGGTCTAAGATAGTGTTTACAGGCTTAGAGAAGCAATCTAACCCTAAGAATATCTAGCCTAGTAATTAGGAGTAGGTTACAATTATTATTAGTGTCTGCGCTGCTAGCTACTAGGCTATCCTACCCTTTATTATCTTCTAAGGCAAGGTCCTAATTACAACCTAGTACCCTAATCTACCTTGCAATTAGGTAATTATAACTAGTAAGAATAGCTAGATAATAAACAAGCTCAGTCTAGAGTAGTTAAAGCACTTTAATATGTCTATAAAAGAGTGTACTATTAGTGCCTCCTATCTGCTTATTATTAATAGCTATAAGAGCTATAACTCTATAGAGTTTAAGGAATACTACGCAGAACACAAGATTATTACCTTATGTATACCCCTACACTTGTCACACCTGTTGCAGCTACTTAATATAGCCTATTTTAGCCCCTTAAAGAGGGCGTACTTAATTAAGGTTAATACCTAGTTATAATACTTAAAGACATAAATTAAGAAAGAGTTCTTCCTTACTAGCTTCTAGACAGCCTATTATAAGGCTATTACAAAAGACAATATCTACAGAGGCTTTAGAGGCGTAGGACTAGTTCCTTTTAACCTAGAGCAAGTGCTATTAAAGCTTAATGTGGTCCTTTGCACGCTAACACCACCACTACTAGAGACTACCCTATAGGAATCTAAAACACTAACTAGCGTAAAGGAGGTTAAGTTATAAATATTATATATCTATAAGTGCATACAATTGCACAGAGATTTGCCCCTGTCTCCTATTATAAAATTACTTAACTTGCTTGCTAGAGGGGTTGCGTAGATAGACTATGCTAACATGTTGTAGAGAAGGGAAATAGATAGTATAAAGAAGGCTATTAAGGCTCTAACAGCGCAGTATAGTTGCAAAAGAAAGTATATCTAGACAGAGGAGGCTCTCACAGTTAGTAAGGTACAGGATATAATAGCTAAGAAGGACAGTGGTAGTAGTAAGGCATCTGAACAGTCTAGGAAGAAGGTGCGCAAAGAGAGGCACTGCAGACGTTGTGGCAAGACTAGCCACAATTTGCGCACCTGCACTGCAGAAATATTAGATGTAGATAATAGCGCTGCTTCTAAAGAGTAATTGTAGCAATTGTAAGTATTAGTGTAGTGTTGTGGTTAAGCGTAATAGTTGTGTAATAGTTAGTGACTCTAAAAAAGTTGGTAAGGGGTGGCGGTTCGGTGATGTAACAACGCTCTACGAACAGTGACCCGATACCACTAGGATTCGGTTCTAGCAACTCATGACCATGGCCCTTGTTGCATAGCATGAGCTCACACTAAACTGCCACTAAACCCTTATATATAAGGAGCAAGGAACTGTAGCATTATAGAGTAGTTTTTCTGTATCCTTTTGTACAAGACCTATAGGTGTAGAGAATATATCCTAGTGTTCTTATCATCCTAGCACTCCTATATGCCTTATAGCGGATTCACACCTATTCTAGATATCTCTCTTCTTGCCTGCGTTGTTACATTATACAGAAAAACTCGTCCTAGCTAGTGACGGCCTCTAAATAATATCGCAACTTGTTTGTTTTAGATTACGCCTAAGAACCTAGTAGAATTAGAGTTAATTTACTACACACTATTACATCTAGCATTTAGCTACAGTTAGGATACTAGAGATCTCCTAACAACTAAAGCCTTAGGTTTAGAACTTCTAAGACAATCACGTCTAGATTACTTTAGAAAAGACGCGTTAGACAGCGCCAAGGTAGAGACTAGGAGACTACTAATAACCTACCTAAATTAGAGATAATACTAATGTTAGGTAGCAACACCCCTAGTTCTAAGGAACCTATAAGAAGATTAGCCTAAGTTTAGAGCGCAGTAAATAAGGCCTCTAAACTACCCCCTAATTAAACCTTAGTAGCAAAGAATGTGGCTAAAAGTAATTAAGAAGTAGATTTAGACTTAGATAAGATAGACCTAGTAAAAGAAGTTATAAGACTTTATACTAAAATCTCCTAACTAAGAGCTTCCTAACAACTATTAGATAACCTGCTACTAACTACTAAATTAATCCTAACTATGTCTTAACAGCTATTATAGTTCTAGTCTAAGACACCCCTAGACTACAATATTAGGTAGAAGCTTTCTAAATATACCCTAAAGATTAATAATCTTAATAATAGAACTAGTCTAACCTTTAAATAATAGTAGGCCTCTATACAAGACTAATTAGAAATTAACGCAGATTACTATTAGAGCAAGCGCGCTTGAATAGCCTTAGTATAGGGACACACAACAGGCCTAGCCAAAGAATATCTAGAGCCTTAGTATCTGGCCAACACTCCTTTAGAGTTATTTTAGGACGCTAAAGAGATAATTACCCTTCTTAAGTCCTATTTCATCACAGGAAATAAGAAGGCTAAGAGTAGAGCTATATTTAACTAGCTTACTATAGACAAGAACAAATCATTCCCTGCGTTCAAAGCTTGTTTTCTTAGTACAGCTATACGTGGACAAGTACCTAGAACAGAGTGGTTCCACTACCTATAGGCTAAGGTTACCTTAGGACTTTGTGTGCCTAACCTAGGTTTTAAGAGGCAGTAGAACAATTTGTTTAAACTTATAGTAGAGCACTTAACTGCTTTTAATATAGAGCAGAGTAACTAACCTGACCCTACAGGAATATTTAGACAGTCTAGTGCCCCTCTAACGCAGATCTGAAATTGTTTTGCTTCAGACACTGCTAAAAAGGTCACACCTTCTAGAGATTACAATGCTTTGTTATTGTATCAACGTCAGCCAAGCAGAGCACCATCCGTACCTGCTCTAAGGGCCTTCTCCAAGACCCCTAGACCTGTCAAGGAATCCACACCAACACTAACACCTAGTAACTGCTATAACTGCGGTAAGCCAGGACACTACGCCAATGACTGCCTAGTCCCACGCGTACGCAAGATTAAGTTAGCTAGTGATAAGGACCTTGTGGACGCCTCTAAAACACATAACTACAACACTAACAACTATAATTAGATAGGAAACAAAGAAGCCTACTAGTAGGAGGAGTTCCCTTCCTAGGCCTAAACTATTATAACTTATCTAATCTTAATTTATCTTATTTATTTAGCAGTTTACATTTCCTAATTAAGTCTATTTTATGCTTAAAAGGCCTTAGTATCTATATTAACTTATTAATTAACACTAGAGCTTAAGGACACCTTTTTCTTAACTCTAAAATTACTTCTTTAATTTCTTTAGCTCTTTAGATTCCTATCTAAAAGCTACCCTTTAAGATTTTAGTAAAAGGTTTTAAGGACTAGATTTTAACCCTAGTTACGCAGTACATCTAACTCTACATAATTATAGATAGTAGAAAGATACACAACTGTCCCTTTATAATTATAGACTTAGGTTCACAAGACTGCATTATTAGAATCTAGTAGCTAAGAAGATTTAAGCTCTAGCTAGATTTAGAGCGTTCTTAACTTATTTAGCCTAACTAGTACCTAGCTGTTTACAACCCTGCTCTGCTAATACTTATATCCCTCTATTAAAACGTTGTATTACAACATGTTGCTCTTAATATTTAATAATATAATAACTTATAGGAACAGGATAAGTATTAGAGAAGCTACAGCACACTAGTTATCTATTAAATTAGAGGATTACTCTATGCACTAAAAAGTAGGAAGTTTACACCTCCTGCAATTCTAAGTTTACCTCTAGATATATAGTAACTAACTCTTAAAACCCTACTAAATCCTTCCCCTTTGCCTTCTATTACTCTTATTTCTATAAATGCGTTCTATTTTAATATAAAAAGAAAAGAAAATAAATTCTTTATAACTAGTTTGTATAAGATAAACTAACTAATTATAGATAAGAAACTAGAGGACAACCCTAAGAATGCTGTGCTTGTTAACGCACAACTTCTAGCTTGTTATAACCTGTATTAGGATGTGTTTAGTAAAACAGCTGCTAAGGAACTCCCTAAGCACTAACCCTATAACTACAAGATTATATTAACTAAACCCCTTCTAAACAACTTCA